GGAGAGAGAGAGAGAGAGAGAGAGAGAGAGAGAGAGAGAGAGAGAGAGAGAGAGAGAGAGAGAGAGAGAGATCCCACCGACGTCGGCGGCGAACGCGACGACGACGGTTCCGGCGACGGCGGCAGCGGCGCGACCAAGGGGAGCGGCCAACTCTCCGGGAGGGCATGCGGCGGAGCGGCGGCGGACGCCACGGACACATGCCCGTACGTACGGAGGCACCCATACGTACGGCCCGTACGAGCGTACGTACACAGCGTCCTGTACGTACGGCCCGTACGCCTAAACGGGCCGGTGATCGGGCCGTGCTCGCGGACAGGGTTTTCGAGTGCCGGGCCCATTTGGGGGGGTGGTGGGGGGGGGGGTTGAAGGGGGACAGGCCTGGGCAGGACGGGCTTTGGCGCTGTCCACTGAGCTCCGCTCCGGCATCTGTGGGCGGTGGGGCTACCTGCAAGGCTACAATGGTGCCCAAGAAAGGGAGGGGAGATTAGCCATTCGTTCCGGTCAGTAAAGACAAGCAGAAGGAGGCGGAGCTGAAGTTTTGCGGCTTTAAGTGGGTTACGAAGGGGCAGACGATGCCGAATTCGAATGGCAATTTCCTCATGGAGTGCAAGCTGTGTGGTCAGGGTTTTCAGGGGAGCCAGACGAAAGCCGCACAGCACTTCACGATCAAGAACAATTGCGTCAAAATCTCCATGGAGCAGATGGCGGAGATATGGAACAAGACAAAGTACGGGTTCAATCCAAGCCATGCACGGAAGATCGTGGAGTTTCTGAAGTCTCGTGGGTTGCGAGACAACAGATGTGGATCGGGGAGGGAGCCAGCGGGGAATGAGGAGTTTGAGGACAGCGAGGAGGAGAGGAGGGCGGTCGAGGGTGGAGATGATGATGGTGAGAGTGATGCAGAGGACATGGAGGTGCGGCGAGAGGTGGAGCGTGCCAGGGGAAAGCTGAGGAAGGAGAAGGCCGTTGACGAGGACAACACCCCTGACGAGGACGCCGACGCCGACGATGACGATGAGGGAGTAGACCTTGGGGCCTCTCTGGATGGGGGGTTGATGGGCGATGGCCGTCGTGGCTAAGAGGGGGCAGCTAGGGCGATGAAGGAGGCTGCGGGATCGAAGAAGAGAAAGAGGAAGGCGAAGATGACTACCACTGAGGCGAGATCAACACCTTCTCAGCCCAAAAAGAGCAGAGTTCTTCGACAGAAGTCCATGCTCGAGACCTTCGATCCAGTGTGGCAACGAGAATTCTCGGACTCCGTCCTACAGTGGTGGTACGTAAGCAGCATCCCATTCGAGGCGGCGAGGAGGCTTAAGTATCATAGGATGAGGAAGAAGTTGCTCGAGTGTCCGCCGTATGCACATCCGGCATTACCCACGCACCGTGTCATTTCGTGCGAAGGCATCCCTCAGCAGCAGCGAGTTGTGGCAGACATGGTGGCCGCCATACGCAGGGACATTGAGGCGACGGGAGCGACCATCCTCACGGATCGTCGCAAGTCCATCACGAGCGACCAGATAGTCAACTTCCTTGCTGCTGGTCCCACGGGCACGTACCTTTTTAGGACTGTGCAACGGGATGGTGCTGTTCAGAAGACAACAGAGGCCGTAGTGGAGCGATGGAAGGACGTGTTCGACAAGTTTGGTGTCGACAAGGTGAACGCCATTTGTACTGATTCCGCGTCTGCGTATGTTGCTGCGTCCAAGCTCCTCGCCCGGGAGGAAGTCAAGTACAGCCGCATCACTTAGCTTCCGTGTGCGGTCCATGTCTGCAACTTGTTGTTGTCAGACATCGCGAAGGATGGGCGCGACGGGAGCCTCAGGAAGAGGAAGGACACCATCATCAAGGCTCGAGCTGTCGTGCGTTTCATCAGAGAGCACGGGGCGGCTCTAAGCCTTTATCGACGGTTCTCTGCCGCCTACCCCTCTTCCGCCTCCGCGGCGGCTGGTGATTCGAGCTCTGCGCCACCCTCGTCTCAGCGGCGAGGCAGGGAGCTTGTGTACCCTATGCAGACGAGGTTTGCCACCCACTACTTGATGCTGGAGATGCTGCTGGAGATGCTGCTGGATCGTCGCAGAGCGTTGGAGTTGTTGATGCTGAGCGACGATTGGCTGCGGACTGCATGGAGGAGGTCCATTTTTCTGCAGGCCAGATGGGTGCGTCATCAGGTGCGGTACGCGCCATTCTGGGAGCACGTGGAGGACATCGTGGCGCTCATGACGCCTGTGATGCAGTTGCTACGACGTTTGGACAGGGGGGGTCGCGTGATGACTCGCATGTGGTCGTGGGGTTTTGTCATGATCGACAGGGTGGCGAGAGCAAGCCTCAACAGGACGTCAAAGGACGAGCTCCACATCGTTGTTCAGGCTTGTCAGGCGCGGGTCGCTCATATGTTGGAGCCGCACATTGCATGGCCCACCTCCTCAATCCGCGGCAGAGGAGCATTACTTTTTTTGGAGCGGCGAGGCGTACCGACCACGAGCGGATACTGGCAGACGAGTCGTTGTGATACCTTCGCCATCAGACTGGTGGTGACGAGGATTTGTATCAAACGTTGCGCACGCAGCTGGCGGAGTTTCATTCTCGGGAGGGCGATTGGACGTATGGAGGGGCCGAGGGAGACAGGGATGGGGCCGCCTGCAAAGGGGAGAAGGAGACGTCACAGGTGGGGCAGTGGTAGGTTCAGCACCGGGACGGGGTCCCTCTCCTTCAGAGCATCGCCATTCGCTTGTCGCACACATGGACGTGCGCCTCTCCGACGGAGAGGAATTGGGCCGTCCATGAGCGTGTTCAGGTGAAGAGGCGTAATCAGCTTGGTTTCATCAAGCTGACTCGTTTGGTGGAGATATCCACCAACTTGAGATTGAGTCGTTGTCAGAGGAGGGGTTCTGGGTATGTTCTTCCATGGGAGGACGCTGAGGAGGAGACAGAGGATGCTATTCCTCCGCCTCCTGATGAGGGTGTTCAGCCGGCTGACCGAGTCACCGAGGCACAGCGCGACCGGCAGGTCCAGCGCGGGCGGAAGGATCGCCTCTCAAAGGCACCTCCCAGCGTCACGACGTATTTCGCTCGTCGCGCCATGGTGCTCATGGCGCATGAGTTGGAGTTGGTGTACGATCCCGAGCTTGATCCCATGGCTCAGGACGCGATGGAGGCCGAGCCGTGGTCCGATCCGGACGACCTGGCCGTGGAGTCAGAGCCAGAAGGTTCTCATGACGATGACGACGACACTCCTCTCAACCAGATTCCGCGTCCTCGCACACGTGC